CTGCTGATTGATCAACTGAACAGTTCAAAACATTACCTTTGCTATCCTAGAGTCTGTCTCAACACCAGATTTCACAATACTCATTCTAAACCTTATTTAAAGTGCAAGCTAAAAGGATAATTTTCATCCAATTATAACAACACTTAAAGTAATTGAAATTTTAGATATACCCAAGTTCGTGAAATTGCTGTTATCCCTAGAAAACAAAACGAAAGCACCACCACTGTTTTTTAGTGGAGAAGAAAAGGTGTGGATGGAAAGTTCACTCAAGTCCTCAATTTAAATTTCCTTGCTTTGGAACCTGAATCAATCAGTGGTGAGCTGATGGCCACTGACTGGGAGATGAGGTCCAAGGACTGAGAGAAAAGGGTGTCTGGTTTAGGCTTTGGGACCAAGCAAAAGAAGTGGCACAGGGAAACCTGCAGATGGTTTGAATTTCATCCAGCAGACAAACAGCAAACCGCAGAGCCATCCCACAGAGCCTCTCGCTGCTGCTGCCACTGGGCAGACAGGCGGTGGAGACACGGCCGCCTGCCCGGCCCCAGGTACCACCTCCACGGCACAGAGGGGATGCAGAAGGGGCGTTCAGCATCCCCAGTCCTGTTAGCCACACACCACATCTCAAAGTGACCAAGGATGGAATGGCACCGCAAACACCGGAGCAGGGCAAGGAGTACTCTGGGACTACCTCACACCTGCAAAGCTGCCACCGTGGTACAGCTTGTTTTATCCCACAAAACAGTTTCAAAACACCACACAGCACCACAAACCAGGCACAATTACCTTGTGACAGAACACACACAACTGTGATGGGGCAGCTATAGTTTGAGTATCATGAACTCCTCATGCCAAGAGGAAAGAAGGAAAAAAAAACACAGTTCATTTTTAAAAATACCTGAGAAGGAAAACAACGGCAGCATTTTTCATTTCACATTTCACTACGCGCACTCCATTTACTCATGTCTATCCACTAATACTTTACACTACTGCATAGAGATGCCAAACATCTACCAAGGCACCAGTTGTCCTAAGCCTATTCTTAAATTCACGTGTGTGTGCCTATGGACAGTGCCACTTCTCTCAAGGAATCCCCCCAGGACTGTTTCTCTCTGGTGAATCATTTCTTAACGTAGTTCCTTAATTTCAGCTGCAACTTGAATCTGCACATGTAGGCAAAGACACCAAAAAGCAATTTGGATGAGCCTACGAGATGTTTTCTGCTTGGCCACAACGTCAGAATTACAGCATCTCCTGAGCTTCCCGAAGAACCGAGATCCTGAAGCAGGAGGGAACTTGTACGTGTACGGTCTATTGGCTCCCAAGCCAAAGGCTTTGGGACATGACTACAGTTAGTTACCCAAACTTCCAGAAGTGAAACATTAGTCTGAGCTAATTATAGCAAAATTATGACTTCTGTCAAAGAAAATGTGTGCATCTCATGTAACGCTGCTTTCTCAGTCTATCTTCCCTAGTCACATTTCCTAAAACTGAACATTTATAATGGATAATCCACCTGGCCCCACTGTGTGATGTACACGTTTGATGGGTAAGACCACAAGTTGTAATCCTCTTTGGAATTTAATACACAAAACCAGACTTCTGCACTTGCATTTGGCCAGCACTGGGAACTACCAGTGTTACAAAGCTGAACAGATTTAAAGCAGGATTCATAGAGAAATTACTTTGTTATGTGAAATACATTAACAATATTGAAACTTTACCTCCCGTCTTCTCTCAGTCTTTCATAAATACCACACAAAATGATGCCTAACGCACCTCCTGGTAAATGGATTAAATCCCAAATTTTATAATATATTCATTCCAGGTTCTTTCATCCATAAAAAAGTACGGACTGCTGTCTCTACTGAGTGCTTATGTTGGCTCCAGAATAGTAACTGCAGCTGCAGGGTGAGGGGTAGCGCAGTAGCTCTCTTACCTCCATGATGGGGTTGGAGGCCAAGACTTTCTCCTCAACGTTGGCTTCGCTGGCAGATCCGCTGACCGTGGCAAAGTACCTCATGGCATACTTAGCAGAGACGGTCTTTCCAGCTCCCGATTCCCCACTGACAATGATTGACTGATTTCGCTCATCCCTGAAACACAAAGACACGTTAATTACCAGCCGTTCTCTCAAGAGAACACTTTATTTTTTGCGTCCCCAACTTGGCAGCAACCCTTCCACCAGAAATGTTAGCGATACAGCAATAAGGTAAATGCACTGGGCAGAAACAAGGCTGTTAGTGACCGAGCTGCCCGACCGGCTGGTTGGACTGCCTGTGACCGGGCAGCCCAGCCAGCCAGCAGAGCTGCTCGAGAGAACCTGGCTACAGCAAAGTACCCGTTACCACTACTCACTACAGGCTTCTGCAGCTACTTCTACCCGGAGTCTGTGGTACAACGCTCTGCTAAATTATCAGTGCTCATTAGTAAAGATCATTAATGCCATCTTACAGATAGAGAAATCAACAGCAGAGTCAGCAACAGAAACCTTTCGTCCTTCTGATCTAATCACCAGCTTTTCCCAGAATCATTCTGAATCTGAAAAATTCAAGCAGGGCAGTTCAGGACACAAATAGCAGCTCTGGAGAAAAGATGATCCCTTTGCTGTGAAGTGACTTCTTCTCATTTAAAAAAAAAATAGTCTCCATTTGCTACTAAAACAATTTTCTCTCTTCTCAAAGAGGGCTCTATCCATAAGCCCCACCTGCATGACTAATAAACACCACAAAATAACAAGGAGAGAAATTAGCATTTATATAGCCTGAATATTTTAAAATAAAGACCATACACGCTTTATACAGTACTTTATATTTCCAAAGCAAAAGAAGTTTAAATGAATGATATTTCACAATACTCCTATGAGCTGCATGAGCTTAATTCTATCTAACATACTGGAAAGTGGAGAAAGAAGGAATAAAACTTTACCCCGAAGCTTTACAGAGCCAGGGCTGGAACACAGGAAGTTTAGCCAAGCCCCAGAGCAGGCTGCACCTACAGCTCAGTAACTGGGAATGAAATCTCAGGCACGCATGTATTTAGGCAGCACTTTGCTGTCTGCGCACCTCCTAGCGCCTGCTGAGGCCATCAGGAAATGCTATGCAGGGGAAGTGGAGACGTACGCATGGAAAAGCTATTTATGGTTTCTGTAGCCTAAAGGTCCTCCAGAAGATCTGGGGTTCTACCTCTGAGATGGTCAAAAAACACCTGCTGATGAAATTATGAAGTTAATTACAGAGCATGCGATTACTCTCAAGCTGTTACCTATCGCCGTGCCCCCAGATAAGAGCACAACTCCAGCATCTGCTCTGTGTTGCACAAAGTCTTTGGCTGAAGGAGCCTCTCTCAGGTCACGCATCTCTGGGAGAGCCAGAGTGGGATTCGTTTAACCAAACGAAGGCATCAGTTGAAGCAAATTTGCCCAATTTTGGTAAAAGGAAATTACTTGCAATGGCTGAATGCCGACTTAAATTTAATAGGAAAGTGCTGAGAAGATCAAAGCAACCTAATTTTATGTTCTCAACTCCCATCTAACACATGCGATAGGTGCGAATGACTCCAGCACAGTTCGCACATTCGCACACACCAAGCTGTCAGTCTCAGCGGGGAAGCTGTGGGGGAGCACAACTATCCAGCTCCATACGGGCTGTGTGGAGCCCAGGTTACAAGAACTGAACTGCCAGAGATGCCAGCCTTGGCCACAGGAAAATGAAAACACCCACCAATGAGACCTCTCATTACAGTGGCCACCAAACCTGCTGCACACACTCCTGGGGGAGGTCTGTGGTGCCTGGGTTGGCTTGCAGCAGCAGTGAAGATTTCCAGCTGGGAGAGGAGGAAGAAACACTCTTCTTCCCCATTCAGAGTCCACCAGCAGTAGACAGACAGGCACAAGGACAGCCTGGAACTCTGCACATCAGGAGGTGGTGTGAGCTATACAGATGCTCATGGTCAAAAAGAGCAACGGAAGGACACGGGAGAAGGCCAATCAAACACACAACGTGTAGGCTTAAATGGGACAACCGATGACACACAGTTTAACTCACAGTTCCCGCAGTGAGTCAAAAAAACAGAGAGCAATTTCTTCATAGGACTGGCACTGCTCTCTCTTTTATTCTTCCTGTGCTCTATCAAATAGTAAAAAACCAAACAAGCAATCCATACCATTCTAAAATATGAAACTTCTGCTCTGATTTCAGAAGCTGCCTCACACAGGAGATGGGCAACAACACAACAAGCTTTTCCTTTGCAGATCATCAGCTCTGTTTCATGTATTAAGTATCACTGAATATATGAAGACTCGGGAAGCTCAAGGCCTATGAAATGCATCCCTTGATGATTAAGCTTATTTTTAGCTTAGTTCCCAAAGCACTGAAAGCTTTCAGAAAACAAAGTAATGCAACCTCAGTACTACAGACTTTTGACAAGTCAACAGAAAACTCTGTTGCCAAGAGAGGAACATCCAAATAAAGGTGTCTCTGTCAAACCCCTGAAGGACAAGTGTGAGAGCACGGAAAGGGCACGCTGGTTTTGTAGCCCCCAGTCCCTCCTTGGGAGCGCAGGAGTGGTAGGAAACATCAGGCTCTTGAGAGCGCTGCAGAGGAGGGAGCTCCATGTTTTCACAGACAGTAATGAAAAATGAGGTTGAAATAATTTCTCCTTAAGAATATCGTTGCTAATTAGCCCAGAGTTTCCTTCCCCCACATCGTAAGATACGAAGATGTGCACTCTTCTCTTAGCACTCATTCACGCGCTCAGGAATAAGGGATCCATTATTATATTACTGTACGAGCACATATACACATACACTTCTCATAAATTCACCTAGAGGAGACACGGCTGGCTCTGTGTGAGCTGAAAACGTTGCTGCCTTCTCTTCTGCAATGAGTATTTGTGTTTGCAGCAACCACGAGAAACAAAGGGCTCAGTCACTGTCTGCAATGAGTCCTCTCGCACCGCCCTGCCAGCGCTCCATCCACGCTCACAGCCGCTCTTGTCTCCAACACCACATCAGTCCATTGTTTGGCCTTAACACACTGGAGTGGCCATCCTCTAGCACATTATTCTTTCTGCTTTCTTGGCAGAGAGCAAGGAAAACGCAACAAAACGCCCAAGATCACACAGCCCAAACACAGCAGTGGCAGAGGATGAGCTGCTACCGCCACAACCCCAGGGAAGACTCGGCACATGGGCGCCCTACACGTAGGCTTTCAAGAAGGACATCAGGGTAGTCCTGCCAGCTCAGCAGAGGGCTCTTTTATGTGATTAAACCTTAAAGAAACGAAATGCCACATGGAAAAGAAAATAACAAGTAACACAGAGTCGAAACACCTTGGAGAGCGAATGAAATGCGGCGAGAATTTTTCTTAATGGTTTGGTACAAGCGATGGAGCACCTGAAAGAAAACCTCTGCTTGTGCCAAGTGAAATTTTCATAGTCAGGCTGCATTAAAAACAAAACAAAAGAACCAAAAAACCCCCACGAAACAAAGGGAAAAAATCCCCAGAAAACACAAGCAACACCACCCTGAGTTCTTTCTAAGCTATAAATAACACCTTTGGAGTTATTTGTAGTTACATCATTAGCCCTCAACCTTTGACCTAACATTTTTGGGCACTTAACATGTCATCAGTCAGGAAAAAAGGCTATAATTAAAAGTTTCAACCAATGAAACGAGCAGGGCAACAGCATTATGTGTGACACCACTTTGCAGGCTGATGCCACAATCCATTATCTATGCAATACTTCTCCCTCTTCTTGGAGCTTTTTCTCTGAATAAATCACATAATTAGGCGATTTCAAAATTAAGATTGCTTCTGAATGGAGGGAACATTTTAATCATGCTTTTACAAAGAGAAATGAGGGAAGGCAAGCTGGGAGATGAGAAGGTGGAGGAATCCTCTTTCACCCAAAGGTGGGGAACGACGGCATCCTAGGACACAGAACTACATTACACTGAAACAACACTAAGCCAAATCATCTTGAGAAGAGGTGTTTAACCCCAGCAGACTGAAAACAGCTTGACTGGGAACAGTTTACCATTCATGGAAACACCAAGTATTGTGGTCAGGCATTGGTCAGGGACCACATTCAGCTTTTGCCATTTCTGAACAGTGCAGAAGAATAAACCAATGACTAACCCAAACTAAACCTTCGGTTTTAAGATGATAGACCCAAACACTTCACAAGCTGAAACGGGAAATGATAGGTAGAGGTTGCTGGCAGTAGCAGGGGACTTCTCTGCAGACATTCAAAACCCGCCTGGACGCCTTCCTGTGTAACCTCATCTGGGTGTTCCTGCTCCGGCAGGGGGATTGGACTGGATGAGCTTTGGAGGGCCCTTCCAATCCCTGACGTTCTGGGATTCTGTGACTTGATTCAGAAATCTCATAGCCATTCTCTCAGGCCACGTGAGGGTAACAGCTATTGTCACATAAAAGAGTTGTAACACGCTACGGAATAAATGATAACTTTCAATAGCATCATCTATCACAAAAATAACGGTGACATCTAATTTGAAAGGTGATATTCAGATGCTGTATTCAAGCCATACGCAACCGCACTCCTTATGACAAGCAATGGTTATAGAATGAGCAATAAATGTCACTAATTTTGCATATCGTAACTCTGGCAAAGGACAGAAACCGATTTGCGCATAGGCTGGTAAATTTTCAAGACAATTTTGCTTTACCTACAAAATTCCGTTGACAGGCAATATGTTTGTGAGGAAATTCACTGTCAAGAGTGCCAAAACAGAAGAGATGCGGACTTGCCTAACTCCTGGAAGCTTGAGATTACAACCTACACTCCAGCGGGGTTTTTTTATGCTTTGAAAAAACATTGCAAAATTCAACACTGAAGATCGCTTCTGTTCAAATTATGTTCAGCACTGGGTGGGGAGGGAAATGCTACAAACTGACTTACATGCAGAAAAGGGTTTTTGCAGAATATGAACGAAGTGGCAGTGCAGGAGAAACCAGGAAATGGTTGAAGAAATAAATCTTGTTTTCAAGATGTGGGAAAAAAACCCCAAGTAAAACTTTGGTGAGGATGTGCATATATCTGCATCTTGACTAACTTTAAATTCTGTATTTCC